GACTTGGAACAGGAGAGTTTCTCAGAGAGAGATGAGGTAGGAATGGCCCTTGACACCATAACACATAATCTAATGCATCAACTGGTGGCCCAGTTAGATGACTGGTGTGCAGAAAGGAGGTGTTTGATTAGGCAAATACACAGTGTGTTTTCCTAATTGCATTCATGCACTGTGGAATTGCTGTGGAGATAATACGTCTTAATTTCAGCAAAACTTTTGACAAAGCATTCCATGAGCTCTTGATTAGCAAACCAGCTAAAAGTGGAATAGATGGAAGAAGCATCAAGTGTATCCTGAGGGGAGATAGGATAACTATCGGCGAATGGGGCGGCATAAAAATGTTTTAATAAATAAATAAATAACTATATTTGAGTACTTGAAAGATTGTCTCAAATATATATTCATAATACAGCAACAAAATATATTCATGTATATTAATATAACATTGTGAAAATGACCTGCAACTTTGTGTATCCTGCCAAAACGTAGATCTGTATTGCAAAGGATTAAAACTTACTGATGGAATCCATTTAGAATGTCATTCTTTAGATTTAAACAAAAATTTGATTGAAATCTTAACCATTTTTTAAACTAATCTTGTTTCAGTTTTTGATTGGGTAGCCCTAGTAGACTGTGGAAATGCTGTGAGCATTATAAATCCTAATGTCAGCAAATCTGACAAAGAGTCTGTCCCATGATATCCTGATTATCAGACAAGGTGAAAGTGTGCTAGATGGAACACCTATCAGGTGGATCCCCAGCTGGCTACAGAACTGGACTCAGAGAGTGCTCATCAAAGGCACCTTCTCAGACTGGGGAGAGGTAATGATTTGGTACCATAAGCAAGAAGCAGACAAGCTAGAGAATGTTCAGAAAAAGGCAACAAGGATGATCCAGAGACTGGAAACAAAGCCCTATGAGGAGAGAGTTAGGTCAGGATCAATTCCGGATCATTCTAGAATGCAGGACATGGAATAATGAGCGCACATTACAGGAAGTCGGGTTTTAGCTGAAAAGATTTCCTGACTGTTAGAGTAATATGATAATGGAGCTAATTACCTAAGGTGCTCCCACACTAGAGGTCTTCAAGATGTATTTCCAAAGTTGTCTGAGAGGGATTGTTTAATTTGGAGTCCTGCCTTGAGAAGGGGGTTGCACTCAATGGTCTTCTTGTCCCCTTCCAATTCTAGTATTCTATGAATCTTACTTAAGAACAGCATTTTCTCCTGGTGAGAAACAAAATCCAGGCTCAGGGTCAAGGAAGAGGCACTGAGAGATCAACAACAAGCAAACTTTCCTAACTGTCTTGGCAACTTCAACCCAGAAGCTCCGGTGTTTATCCCTATGAACCCTTAATGGAAGCATACAATCAAGCACTCAGCGGTTTTATTTAACAGCAACAGAAATCCCTAAATTATAACAGTGCTGCATTAGAGCATGTTCAGAGTGGTTTATGGACTTGCAGTTACATTCACATGAGAGGGAGAGGAATGAGGCCTTGAATAAGTGATGTAAAAAAAACCCCAATAGAAGCGCAAAAGGCCCCCTCTGACTCACTCTCTTGGTATGTTTCAGGAAAGACATCATGACTCATCAAGATCTTGAGTGACAGATAACAAATTTAAACCATCAGGAGTTACAGAATTTAATAGGTTTCAATGTTTGTTTTTTCAAGTCAGAGGTAGGAAATTGCAAGAAGACAATGACAAGCTGGCCCAGTATTTGAATACTCCAGCTAGTTGGATTGTATCATCCCCCTGCTGGCTGTGCTCTGCATTTCTGAGTGATTTACCAAGGGGGTGAATCACTGCATGTCAGATATGGGGCTCCTTTTCTCACAGAAAGAACCTGAATGGAAAGACACTGCAGAATGGAGAGGGTGGAAGAAGGGGAATAGGCAGTTTTCTACATTCAAGGTAGTTTTCTATCTTCAATTTAAAACTTTTATTAGGGCAACTCCAACACAGAATACCTTGAAGAAAGTCAGCAATACATAAGAACCTACAACTGACTCTCCAAGAGAATGAAGAGCCAGGCAAAAATTGCAAGTCCAAGGGGATAATTGCAGACAAACCTGAAAGGAAACCAGAAGCAAGACTTCTGTATACTCAGAAACAACACTTTGAAACCAATCTAAGCAGCAGCCTTCTGCCATCCAGATTACAGAGATTCCTACCCAGATGCATCACAACAGATTCAAGAACAGGCTTCCAGACAAATCACACACCCAAGGCAAATATTGTTATTTTTATATTGTTATTTTTGTATTTTACGTCATGTTGTGAGCCGCCCCGAGGCTTCGGCGAATGGGGCGGCATAGAAATGTTTTAATAAATAAATAAAATAGACTGCCATCCTTTTCTCAAACTCCACAATAGACTTGTGCCCCATCCTTAGTGGATGTCCCAGAGTGGTACCATGGTGTGCTAGCAAATTTGTATGTACATTATGGATATGGGTTGTCCCATAAGCCATTATTGAACATGTGGCCCAAGAAGCCTCTAAGGATTTTCTAGAGTCAGAAGGAGGGATTGAAGACTATACGAGGGGCGTTCAATGTATTCTTGGTATCAGCAAGAAGAAAAAGGAATAATAAATTGAAATATTTTTATACATTTTTCAATGTAATCCGCCATAACTGCAATACACTTATTACATCTAGAAATTATCTTTTCAATTCCCTGTAAAAAATACCCTTCCTCCTTGTCTAAAAAATGTGCATTAATTGCCACCTTAAGCTCTTCATCGTCGGAAAATCACTTTCCACAAAGATCTTTTTTTTAAATGCAGGAATAGGTAGTAGTCACTGGGGGCCAGGTCCAGGCTATAGGGTGGGTGGTTTATTTCTTCAAAACCACAGTCTCGCACAGCAGCCTTCGAAACGCGCCGTGTCGTGAAGAAGCAACACACCTGCGGTCAGTTTTCCCCACCTTTTTTCTTTAATTGCTTCTCTTAAATTACACAGAGTGGTTGCATAAGATGCTGCGTTTATGATTTCACCTTTTTTCGTGTACTTGATCAATAAAATTCCCTTTGAGTCCCAAAACACTGTGGCCATGATTTTTCCAGCCAATGGAGTGACTTGAATTTCTTTGGAGGGTCAGCAAATTTTTTATGCCACTGCATGGACTCCTGCTTACTTTCAGGGTCATAGCGATGAACCCAGGTTTCATCTCCAGTAACAATCCGGTCGAAAATACTCAATGGATCTTCACCACAGAGCTCTAAAAACTCCCTACAGCACTCGACTCGCACTTGTTTCTGAGGCGCCATGAGCATTCGCGGCACCCATCTTGCACAGACCTTTGAAAGGTTAAGATGGTCATGAAAAATAGTAAATATGGTACCAGTGGATAGGTTTGTCATCTCTGCTAACATTTCAATTTTTATTCAGGCATCTTCAAAAATACAAGTTTCTCTATTTTTTTCACATTTTCTTTCGTACTGGCAGTAACTGGCCCGCCTGAGCAAGGGTCGTCTTCAATGCTTTCTCTGCCCCTTTTAAATTCACTTGAACACTTCTGAACAGTAGATAATGAAGGTGCAGAATCCTGGTAAACGGCCACCATCTCTTCGTGAATTTTTTTTTACTTTTTCCTTGTTTTGTAAGGAACTTAATCACAGCGCAGTGCTCCATTTTCTTCAACATTGTCAAGTCATCTTGGTCATCTTTCACTGAGGATTACTAGGGAACTAATGATCACACTTATTTGAAATTTTGCATGTATACCCTCAGATAGTGTCATTAGCTAATGAAATAATTAAATTACCCACATCAATAGCAAATCAACCTGATACCGAGCATACATTGAACACCCCTTGTAGCTTTTTCCTGAGGATCAAACAAAGGTCTGTACTTAGGGTTCTATCAGTAAGACACAAGAGAGTAAAAAAATATATAATAAACTTCTACCAAGGTCAGAATGTGTAAAGATAGGCCTGGAGCCAGATGTTTTGACACAAGAAGTGTAGGTCTAGATAACCATGTTGAAAAATAATTGAATGTTTTCTGCTGTGGTGTTTTCTGTTACTAATCCATGCAAAAAACTAAATGTATAAATTTACTGTGCATGATGACTGCGGCAGCTGGTCTCAACTGGAGATGGGCTCATTCCCTATTGTTAGTGTGCACCTACAATAAAAAGTACTTTTATATAGAATTACTTGCTGGTGTTACCTCCCTCTTGCAGCCAGACAAGAGGGATTTCTCTTTTTGTTCTCAACACTATGATAGTTAAAAAAGAGTGTAAAAACATTTTAACCTTCCAGGATACCCTCTCATCAATGTTAAAGTTGCCACTGTGACACACTTTAGAGGGTGATTAAAGCCAAAAATTTGGATGAGCTTCCAAGGCTTGGACTGGGATAATTATTTTTTTTTACTCACACCTACCTAGTACCAGAATTTTTGTGTTATTAAGAATCACTGATTTAGAAATTTTCAGTGCTTACAGTTTGTCAGTGCTTTCTGCATTTAATTTTTTACTGTCCTTTTTCACAGTTCCCCCTGCTCCCAATCATATAAAATCTAATAAATGTGTAAGCCTTTTAAGGTTTTTCTTCTTCCTCTACTCTGAAGTGCTGCACTTAGAGAACAAAATCCCCTATTTGTTTTTAAATACATCATTGAAGGGCAAATGAATAATGCAAGTGAAGAGTCTTCAACAATTAGTAACAGCAATCTCGGTGGGGAGAATCATAAAAACCATTTTTCGAAACAGAATGAGAATGAAACAAGCACATTTAACCCGAAGAGCTGTTGCTAGAGGGTCCACTGCTGAATTGTCTGGCCGGTATCCGCTCGGCCTCAGAAAAGGCGACTTCGAAGGTCAGGTCAATTAACAAGGCGTGCTAGCGAGCTTCGAATAAACCTCGAGCCTTCTCCAAACCAGTCCCGCCCCACGCAGCCACAAGGCCACCAATCGCCTCAGCCTCGAAACAGAGGCACGCCGCCGATTGGCGGCCAATAATTCGTCCTCCCCACGCCCCCCTGCTCGTACCTAGACAATGGAAGCTTTTCTCGCACTGCCGATTCTCGCTCGGTCTTCAAACGCCACCGACCACCTGAGGCCAGAAGATTTCGAACCGACGTCCTTCTTCTGAAGACCCTCTGCCCCAACTAGAATGTGTTGTCCAGGGTGAGCCTACTGTGGCTTCGATTCACGCGTCAGCTGCTGAAGATCGACATTTCCAATAGCGGATACAGACGCAAAAGCGACTTGAAGCGCTGCAGCAAAGATCGCATCGCAGTTATCCCTGCCCCCCCGGGATAATGGAATAGGTCATACAATTGGCTATAGAGTGACACGATCTCCAACCTCTGGATTCACTTTGGAAGCCCTTTTTAATCTCGGCCATTTAAGAGAACATACCTTTTTAATGCACATGTCTAAATAAAAGGCTTTTGCCTAAAACTGAGCGCACATCTGGGGCAGGGTATGAATGATCAATATAAGCAAATTAAACCTTGCTATAATCCGCTGGGAATCCAAATCACAGCATAACTTCCAGTATAACTATTTACAGGGCTGTGAAAAAACTGTCTCTAATCTCTCTCACACACGCGCGCGCGCGCGCTTTTCAATATAGCCATCTGTTAAATATTAACTTTTAGAAGACGTGTTTTCAAATTTAAATCAGAGTCTATTATGAGCCGCTCAGAGTCCAGATATGGGCAACTGTAGCAGCATACAAATGGAAATAATAAATACATAAGAGTAGGCATTCTTGGCTTTCTTTTGTTTCTGGCCAGACACACTACTGCGTAGTAACGAATAAGGTAAATTCTCAAGATTTCTCAGTTTTCTATGGCCAAGTCCCACTCGGCCTACCCTCTCCCCTAAAAGCATCGAAGAGGATTAAGAAATCTCGCCCCCAAAGAGCTGAATTCTTACTTTCCTTCCTATGGGAGTGAGTCGCGCCCTTGCAAACGTTTGCATCCGAGACGTTATGAGAAACTTGGTGAGGGAATAGAAGGAGCCATACGGTAAGAAAATTAACTGCGCATGCTTAATTCTTTTTTCTTCCCGCCGCGGTTTCCATTTGTAAGCAAACCACCAATAAAGTCACACAACTTCGCAAAACGTTGCGATAGCCTGAATTTAAAACAGGCCCCGCCTCAGTTAAGAGGACAACCAACCAGGATAGGAGTACTGTAAATTACTGCAGCGTCTCAGATTGAACTTCCTGCGCAGAAGATGGATAAGGAAGTTGTGTGTTTTTGCTGTTGGTTTTTTTTAATAAACGAGGGGCGCTTCTTAGGTAGTAATGAAGAGGCAGCGTAGCTCGATCTTTCTGGATGATCAGACAGAAACGTTACTGACTAATGAATCCATGTAGGTTACAATGTCAATATTACACAGAATGCATAGCAAAACAGAGTCTTACCATAGAAAGCTAACAAAACCAATTTTAAAAAGACAACACCTCAAAATCAATGCAAACGATTAAAAAAAAAATCCCGCAGCAGAGAGCACAGTGAGTTTGACCTAGGCAAGAACTCTTCTTTAACTTTACCATGTCCCAGTCATCAACTGATGCCATTGTCTTGTGTCATCCAACAGAGATTTTTCTCGTGGTTCAGCTTAGCTCAATGACAGGATGTGAAGAAACCCTTGGAGACAGTCCGCAGCTTGTTTTGCTTGGATATTATGGGTATTGTCAAACGGTCAAGGAATGTGTTGATATACAAATCAATAGGTGTAACTCACACAGGTATAATCATGCAATCATTGACACATAGCCAGGCCAGAGAAAAACCCTCTGTCCTTAGAAATCAGCATGTGTGCATCCTTGAAGTGTATCCGACGCTAACCAGGCACCAGTCCAGAGAACACTACTTGGCACTCGGCAGATAACAGCAGCTCAAACAAAGGGCAATTTAGAAATGAGAAAACATATTCTAGGAGGACTTGGGTGCATCCAGCTCTGCTTTCCCATTCTTCAATGTGAGTTTCATGGTCTATAGGCAGGAGAAAGCAGAGATAGGCATCTCACAGATATTTGCACTGAATAATGTAAAGTTCCAATAACCTTTGAGTCTTTGCAAACTGAAACCTAGAAACAGAACTAGTCAGAAGGGGTCACCCGGGCAATCTAGTCTGACCCCCACCTCCAGCCGGCTCCGCTCATGACATGCCCACCATGTGCATGTCTAGCCTATCCTTGAACACCCTCACCGATGGGGCCTCAACCACCTCCTGTGGAAGCCCACCCCATCCTAACCCCAATTTGTACCAGCCCACCCCATCCTCCTCTTCTATGTAACAGCACCCCATCCTCCCTTCTCCTTCAGAGCATCTTCTTTGGTATGCAGGTGGGAAAGATCACACCATTGTAACATTTTACTTATGTAACCTATTGGAAAGTGTTAACTGTGTTATACATAACCCTTTAATAATCAATGTATAAAAGGACCAACTGAAGACTACTCAGGTGTGCCATCTGGACCAATTCATTGGTAGTTGGTTATTCTTGAGAATAAATATTTTCAAAGACAACCTTCCCCTGTTGTGTATGCTTCTACTGGAGACATTAAAAGAGAGGTTGGAGGGCTAAGTCTTCTTTTCATAAGATACCAAATTTTTATTAGGCCATCCCTGAATACATGGCTATTATTTAGGATTGGTGCTTTTTAAAAGGATTTTTAGTACAGAATTGATTATGTATTCCTTCTTCAAGATCTGCTATTTCCAATTTCACTCTTCTTTCTTTAAAAGTAAAGATCCAGTCTGTGAGCCAGACTAGGCAAGCAGCATAAAAATATAGTTTAATGTTTGGTATTGTAAGGCCTCCTCTCTTTTTTCATCCTGTAAAACTTTGAATCTAATTCTTGGCTTTTTTCCATTCCAGATAAAAGCATTCAGTTGTTTTGCCAATCTTGTAAGGTTTTTCCCTCTATTGAAATTGGTAACATTTGAAATAAAAAAAATTAACTTTGGCAATACATTAATTTTTATGATGCAAATTCTTCGCAACCATGAAGCTTTTAACTTACCATCTCTGTAAATCCTTCTGGGCATTTGTGCTTTCTCAAGGTCTCCTTCAGTATCTTAGCATGGCTGACCCTGTGATACCTGCCAAGAGTGGCAGTTGGTTTCACTCACTATACCTTCTCTCTTGACTCCCTCCTTCCTTGTCAATCTCTATTTCCTTTGCTAAGCAAACTATTATTACTCTTGTTCTTATTACATCATGGGAAGCAACCTGTTTCTAATCCTAACCCTAAATTGGGCCTCAGCCCTAACCCTAAATGGGCCTTAAATAAACCTCCTATAATTGCTATTTCCAGAATGTCCAGATCCTGGAGATTTTTCTGTACAGCTCATTCTTTCTTCCCTTCCTGAAGAGCTTGCAGACCTCTACAGTATCATGGGAAGCGACCTTTTTGTAACCCTTAGGTCAGCTTCACCCCTAACCCTAAAGAGGTGTTTAAATAAAACTGCTGGAATTGCTGTTTCCAAAATGTCCCCTTCCTGGAGAACTTTCTGCACAGTTCATTCTCTCTGCCCTTCCTCAGTACCCTAACACTAATAATAACATGGGAGCAGAGTCTTTCTAACCCGAAACCTAACCTGGTCCTTAACAGCACTTGTGATAGGGATCTCAGGGTACTTGTGGACAACAGGCTAAACATGAGTGTGATGGAGAAGCCTGGAGAAGAGCAGACTCAGAGGGGTCTTATAACGACATATAAGTATGTGAGTGTCATGGCCTGTTCTTCCCTGCAGTGGAGGGAAGGACATGATCTAATGGGTCAAAGCTCAAGGAACCAGGTTCCAACTTGAATGTCAGAAAGTACTTCCTGATGGTTGGGAACCCATGGTTAGGATATGGAATGGATTTCCATGGGAGGTGGTGGAGGTCCAATCAGTTAGGGTGTTCAAGGAAAGATTGGACAAGCACATGCAGGGTATTACATAAGTGGAGCAGGCTTGTGCCAGGGGTCAGACCAGATGGTCTTCTGACTCATTATGTTTCCATTTTGTAAGTGTTGCATACATTAGATTACTCTTAGCAAATTGGAGTAATCTAGATTACTCCATTTCGATTACTCCAAAGAAGCAATGGCTGACCTCCATTTCTGAAAACATGAAAGCCAACTGTTATTCAGGGTAGGCAAGGAACAAAATAAAGAAAAACATGAACATCTTTATTTTAGCAAAGCCAGAATTTAATTTTAGGTAGTACACTAGCCAAAGTATGTGGTATTACCTAGAGGTTAGGCAGAAAGGAACCCACAAAAGGCAGAGTTGCTCTTCAGGCAGTAGAAAAATACGTGCTATGCTGAACAGCTAACCATTGCATTTTTCCAAGGCACATTAAAAAGCAAATGTATCCATGCTTTGCCATGAGGAAAAATTGATTTAGATAATTGTGTGTGAGGAGGTACCTCCTCATGTCTGTCCAAAGTCTCCTATCATTTTGCATCACTGGTTGACCCTGACTTCTAATATTATGAGATATGGAGAAAAACTTCTCTGTATCTGACTTTCTTCACATCAAACATAATTTTGTATACCTCTGTAATGCCCCCCAACTTGCCTATGTTCTCCCTCTAACTTATTGATTCATTTTGTTTTACATTGCCCAATAGCTGAGGCTCTCTCAGCTTAAAATGTCCCAGATGTTGCAACCTTTCCTTGGTCTAGCCCTTCGATCATTTTGGTGGCTCTTCTCCATCTCTGCAACATTCTTTTTAAGTGTGATTGCATCGTATTTTATCTATCGTGATCTCGATCTCTATGTTCTCAGGTTCATTTCTTTTCTAGTAATATGCAGCACACCATTTGTCTTCTGTGCAGTTGGCGACACGCAGCCTCGACGTTTTCACTGCAAACCCAAGAATTCATTCTGGCCAGTCATCACCAATTCAGACCCTTCAGTATAAATGTGCAGGGAGGATGTCTTGCCCCACATGCATCACTTTACGCTTGCTTTATACAGTGTGCCACCTTTGCCTTTTATCCCATTTGAAGGGATCCTTTCAGAGCTCTTCACCATCACTTTTCCTTTTGCCGTCTTGAATATTTTGGTGTCACTTGTAAGCTCTGCAACCTCACTGCTCAGGCCTGTCCAACTCCCAGTCATTTATAAACGAGGGAAAAAAAAAAGGATCAGGCCCAGTGCATTTCCTTGGAGGATGCAACTTCTTACATCCATCCTCTGTGAGTGCTATCCCTTTATTCCTAC